CATTTTCATGGCAATCGCAAGAAATTTACATTGTTTGCAAAGAATTGATATCTTGTTTACGTAAACATGCTGCTTGGGGAGCTTTACCATCGACAGCGTTTTCAACTCTGGCGAAAGCTCCAATGGGTTCGAATGGATGATCATGAAAACAAAGTTTGCCTTTCTCCGCTTCGAAATGAAAAGTCAGGCAGTGCTCAACAGAGCATTCCACATTCATAGAGTCGCGATCGTGCAAAACGGCTGGAATGACATTGGGCGTCCTAGCCAACACAACTCCCAATATCGTTAAAGAATCGACGCGTACAGGCATACCTCTCCGCGCAGCGTTAACACCCTTATGTTTTACCACTTGGCGTAGCTTTGGAAAATAAAATCGTGTTAAAAAAAGGGTGTATTTTATACCATGCAAACTGTGTAGGTCACAGTTAATTTCCAATGTGCAGGTCACAGACCATAGGTAGGTCACACTTCATACCTGACACCACACGGTAGGTCACACCTCATACGATTATCGGCTACACCTACCATGGAACTCCTTAGTGTATTCTAATATAGTATGGAATGGAATGGACGGATGGATATACATATTTATTTGTTTTTTGTGTTTTTATTAATTTATCATTCACTACTTAACCCTACACTGCATCGTGGACCAGATATGGCACGCTCTACTTTGCATTGCAACGCATTACAACATAATGGAAAAACCAAAATGAAAGGATAATTTTTTCATTAATTTTCGCATCGCATTTCATGTTTTCATGCTTTTGGTACATAAAAAAAAGTCATGCATTGTAGTGTAGAGTTCTTTTTTACCCCTTCTTTGAACTCCGCATTCCTTAGTTCCGCAATTCCGCAGTTTACGGAAACCAGGCGTTGTTCTTCCTGATGGTGCACACGCTGACGTGAAATCTTGAGCGCGCAAAACAGCTCCGTCGAGTTCTCTTGCTTGTTACAGATTATTAAGGCTTATATCCTAAGTAGGGAAGCCCAACTACTGTCATGGGGCGTCGTTCCATCAACACGACCAAAAGTGGGAAGTACATGAATCCCACTGACCAAGCACGTGAGTATTTAATGGTATCTGTTATATAGGCCTAGGTTGAACTTGTATCTTAATTTTTGTACTGGGTCGACCCCAACTTCAAAGCCAAGTTAAAAATCCACTCCCAATTAATGTCACCCGATTAAATGATGTCAAACATCAGCTTTGGTGAATTGTCGATGTGGGTGTTTTCGATAGTTACTCAATATTCCTTCGTTCGTGCGCACTGTTAGGTACGATGTTGAAGTTCATAATTGTGAATGGATCGGTTGTGGGTGTTGTATGTGTTAATAATGCAATCTGTGACCATCACTTAGAAGTCACTTTAGAAGTGATTGGTATTCTCGCAGATAGGAGAGGGTGTCATGAGTAGCAGCAGGCAGTGGCGTAGGGAAGGGGAGGGGTAGGGGAGGGGTTTACGGGGTTAGAACCCCCCCCCTTGAGCTTCCCCATCAGTGATGCTTACAGGCATATTTTAACCTTCCTTGGGAATTCCCATTTTAGCTATACCCCTTCAAGGAAAGTCTGATGTCTGTTCACAGACCCAAGATGCCAGACCATGATTTCTTTGAAAAGGTAAATTTAATGTAGTGGAGCCAGGCATAGGGTTAGGGTGTCTACCTGGCCTCAACCCTCTCCTTGCCAATTTCCTGCCTACACCACTGGCAGCAGGACTCCCACGCATAAAGCAGAACACACTGCCCGATGTAACAGTGAGCAGGAAGATTGTCCAGCAAGACCTAGTCACCCATGCACAGAAGAGCCCTTGATTGTTGCTTTCCTTCCAATCGCATCTGCAACCTGCTATGCCTTTGTCAGGATGTACTTGTCATTGGCAATCCCCATAGGGAGACTTTATATGGCAGCTGTCTGCTGCTGAATGGTGAAAGTGTCATCCCACAAGTGAGTTGATAGAAGGATCTTATTCGGATCACGTACTGCCATCCTTTAGTAATTCAGAACTGTGAAAGTCCCACTTCTGATGCTGCATGAACATGCTTAAGGTTATGTAGATAGGCATCACATATCACCTTCTCAATCTCATGAGATAAGCCAAAAAGGTGGTAGTGTGGGGGAAGTGATAGGGGTGAGGGGAATGTTACCCTATACACAGACAGGTAAACTCCTTCTGTTTCAGGGACCAGTTCCCTCTTGTGCCAGTGGCAGGCTTTTGTTAGTTATGGTTGGAAGAGTTCAATGGTGAACAATGGAGTTAAGTCTTTATTGAGTGGGTATTACCCATGACAAGTGAAATCTATGCATCTTGACTACGGAATAGGAGTTTGGGTATACTGTAGGCTCGTTTAAACTTTGGCAACAAGGTCTACTGGACATTCACCCTTCTTTCCATTATTTTGGACAGCATGTTCTGCCTTGAATGTTGGAGGGAAGGTTCAGTTTTCATTAGAAATTATTGTTCACATAATGAAATTGAGTTTCATATGCAGTGTTCACAGGAATTGAAGTGTGCACAAGATGAAAGAATACCTGTTACTCTTTGCTCACGATGACATGCCGATGTGATTTATGCGGAGTCACTATTAAGGGTGGAATTTGACAATTATAAACTGTACTAATGAATATGGGGAGCTGGTTTCATGTTCATGAAAACACCACGGAGCTCTAAGGAATGTCTGCCTGTGTGTTGCCACCTGAGAATGTGGGGAATCAGCACAGTTAGTTAATTTTTGGGTTCATGAAGCTGCCAAGGAGCTGTTGTGAACATCATCCTTAGCAGCCTTGTTGTCCAATAACACTGGAAGTAGGTGGTACAGTGTTTTTTACTTTACTTGGACATTCATGCTTCAGATTTTCCTCATGCATGAGTGTCAAAGTCAAGTGAAAAACACTGTATATAGCAAGACTATGACAGTACTACTGGTTTCTTTGATCAGCATGGCTGCCATTGGAGCAGGGAAGGTAGTGTAAAGATGGCAGGACTGTTAGTTGGGACTTGACATTTAGGGACTCGAGTGATTTCAGTGACCAGTGTGAGTGGTGAGTATGTGATGTGGAGGATTGCTTTTACATTGTCTTATTCTTCCCTTATTGTAGTTTGCCCATGATCATTTACCTTAACCTAGAGTCCTGTAACAAGAGAAGTAGAGAACTTGGCTCTGAAGTTATGGTATGGATAACTTTTTTCCTATGGATGAGAATGGAGCCTGTTTCGTACTAGTATCTCTTGATTGTGAGGTGTACCATTTAGTGATGGATGCAAATAATGTTCCTGTATTTGAGCAGCTCCATGTGTTCCATTTTCAGCCCACTGCTGGATTCATGCCCAAGTTCTTCTTGACATATTCCCCAAAGTGGAAGGCTGCATACTGTAAAAGTAGTTCCGGGCAGTTGTTATGAGTTCCTCAATATTTGTCAGTCTTAAGTGTGAATAATTCCCCAAAGCAAATTATTGCATGTTGTCGTGTGGGTCCATGATTGTGGACCCATGCACTTGCTACTAGTCTTTCCTCTATCGTAAACTCACTAATGTCTGCCATGTTGAAACTCCACCTGGAAATACAATAAAGAAAAGGAAGAAAAGAACAATAATATTTAATGCAAAGGGACTTTGTGGCCACCCTAACCAGACATAATGTATTCTAAAAATGCCAGTGAGATTTATCTTGTAGAAATGATTGTTTTTGATGAATTATGTGACCTTCCTCTCAGGAAACTTCTCCATTGACATGCATGTGTGCAGGCATCTTAGGTTGAACTGATCTTGATTCTCCCTACAAACATTGCTTTTTGTCTAAGTCTGTGCTAGTGAGTATGCATGTATTTTTACTTACTAGCTTATGCATTAAAGTTTAGCACAATTTTAGCGCACAATATATGCTAAGTGGGAAATGCCAGTATGACATGTAAGGGTTACATTTGGCCATTTAACCCTTATCTGGGCAAGGTAAGAGGTGAACATGAGGGGTTCATTGGGACTCCCTATTACTTAAAGCACATACAGGGTGTCCACAAAGTCCTGTTACCTCTATGTTTTTTCCTTCAACGCACTGACCAATAACTGATATATTTGGCATTGTGATGGTAGGAGTTATTTGCATAGAAATAAACAGGTTACACACTATTAGCTATTCATCCCTAATCAAGCCCTATTTCTTTGACAGTTGAATAAACCACACAAGTTATCTGCATGTGCTACAGCCCTGGTTTGATTTGGAGCTTGATTGGCTGGGTATCTGTCAGGAGGCTTGGTTTCAACCAATGCCCTGGATAGCTAAATGTATGTAGCCTGTTCATTTGTGTGCAAATAACTTCAATCATCATGATGCCACACATACCAGTTATTGGTCAGTGCAGGACTGGATTAAGGAGATGGTGGGGAGGGACAGAGGGGGGCAGTTGTCCTGGGCCCCCTGAAGTTAAAAATGTTAGGTATAAGTAGCAGATGTTACAAATCCAAATTTGCACCACCAGCACTTGACTGTGTGGCTCCTCTATGCCACTTGTACAACCAGGTAAATTTTTATTTTATTTTATTTTTTTTTGGGGTGTGGGGAAGGGGACCCAATAATCCACTTGCCCCGAACCTTGCAACTTTTTATCCGGCCTTGGGTCAGTGCATTAATGAAAAAGAACATAGGGGCAATGGGACTTTGTGGACATCATGTAATTTGTGAAAACAGAGGCAAAAGCACATTTATTGCAAAGCAAGGTCTTGATTGATTCTGATGAATTTGAAAAGTAATGTTGACATTGTTTACTTAAAAGCAAAATAGCAAAAAAAGGCTTGAGAGTCCAACAGACTTCACTTACCTGGATAAGAGATGAAATGGCAGCATGTCTATATGGCCCACCCTGTACTTGGAAAAGGGAAGGGGGACTCTAGTAGTATGCTTGATGCTAGCATTTGATCAGACACAGGTATCAGTTGCAGGGAGAGATGTCTGTGTCTGCTTATGTGATGTAGTTCTTGGATTTCATTTGCCTGGAAGAGGCCAGAATTCAAATAAAGCCAGCATTTTCTTATACCTACGAAGACCAGTGGCACGACTGATCCCACTTTTATGTTCTGGGTGTGGAGAAAAAAGCACACCAATTTGAATTTTTATACAATAGGAAGTTGATCATTGTTACAGTATTGCATGTTCTAGGATAGGTGCATCTACATCTTGTCTTTTGAGGTATAATTTTTTTTTAATTTCCCCCATCTGGATTAGCCACAGAAGCATTGTGAAGGTTGAAAGGAAAATTTTTAGAAATACCTTTGCATTGTTATCCTCATGCCAAAAAAGGAAGCCAACACACTTGATCACCTTCTCTCTAACTTGTCTATTGCATCAGTTATGATCATACAGTTGTGTAAGATTGACAGAACAGTAAGAAGTGTCTTTCTGGATGAAAGTGTGCACTGACTTCATGAAAAGAGTGATGCTTTGGTGAAAACTGCAGCTTAATGCTGTTGTCCAAGCACAAGGCCATCCCTTTTTATATTTATTTCAATTATTCACCTTGGATACAAGGAAATTTAAAGATATTTTATATCACATTAAGTGCTTGTTTGGCTAAACCAGCATAGGGAAAATTCTAAGCAAGAATTAATGACAGAAATACATAGGTGCATACCTACTGGGACTTACATAGTAGTAGCCTTGACCATTTTTCTAGCATAAACATGCTAATAGCAGTGCATTTTCTTCATACCTGGAATATAGCTAAAGCCTAACATGGCATTTGATTCTTGAGACCTACCCTTATGTTATGATATGGTTATTGATGATGATCATAGTCTAGGATTGGGATGGGTTATGGACTGGTCAATTAGAAACATGTCAATTGACCAGTCAATCGACTGGTTAATATTATCAATTATGGTCCATAAGGCCAACTTTTATCATTTTTTTCCTGCACAGTTTGTGCTCTATTTGTATGTCATGACTCACAAGTGATAGATGAGGCATGGGAAATTGACAGGTCAACATGGTCATTTTTGGCCATTTATGGACAATAATGGTCAACAAGCCCAACAAGAGGTTAGGTCTTATGGAACACGTTTGGAATCGGTGACCACCCCTTGATTTTTTTGGGACCACCTGAGACTGATGTATAATGTTGCTCTGTAATGATTGGTGCTTGAGAAAGATAAGCGCATCGCTTGATTAGCACATTTTGTGGCATTCCATAGTTTAACATTATTCTCTATGGAAAAACGGCATGTGGGGGCAGCCATGTTGAATGGAGGCCGAGAACGAGATTGGTGCTTGAGAAAGATAAGCGCATCGCTTGATTAGCACATTTTGTGGCATTCCATAGTTTAACATTATTCTCTATGGAAAAACGGCAGATGGGGGCAGCCATGTTGAATGGAGGCCGAGAACGCCCATTTTCATTGGTACAGTAAAAACTATTAATGCCTGTATTCTCATGCTGAACAAGACTAATCAAGCGAAGCGCTCCTATTTCTCAAGCACCAACCGCTTCAGAGAAACGTTATACATCAATCTCTAGTGGGCTTGAAAATATCTGTAATTACGTAATCACTTCGGAGCTAGAGACTCAGGCTAACGTTTCATCAGCTTTTTTGGGTTTTCACTAAACCCAAGCGCACTCTAACCTCAGAACTGGCGATAAACACATACCCCGGGAGCCGCATTCCTTCTATGTTGGGCCGAAAGAGTGAGAAAGTCAACCTATTTTGGAGAATGATGGGTCAATTGGGTTAGAAAATAATCGCGGCCTTCGGCCGCGACCCTTTTCTAACCCAACTGACCCATCATTCTCCAAAATAGGTTGACTTTCTCACTCTTTGGCCTTTGACACCGAGCCTGGGAGAAAATACTGGAGATCCACACACACACTGCCACTGCAATGAAGGGTCTCGCTGGAATGGCGAAGACCTGACCGGAAGTGCGTAGGAAAACGTGTCAGAGTCGGGTCAGTCCGCGGGAGGACCGACCCCGACCCAGTACAGCGCGCATGCCCAGGAAGGTCATGGTATATGCTAGCAGACGCAAGGGCCTGGGCGGAGCGTGTAACATGACCGCTTCAGGCTGCCAAAGTGCCAGACGCTTTAAGAATTTGTAACGTTCCCTGCGCGAAACAACGGGCATGCGAAGTAAAGCGAAATTGGGTAATGGTATATTTATATGAACATATTTATAGGGTTTATATTTATTTCGCCGTATAGGCGCGGTCACCGATTCTAAAGTCTAGCCGGTCTGATGACCATATATGATCATAAATGAACATGTTGACCAGTCAACATTTCATCATTAAGATAGACTTCACTATACTGATTACATGAGTTGGAACATTAAACAGTCACTCTGAAACATGACTATCAGTTATCTTCCAGAGATAAATTTTGGGACTAGGGGGACAGTGTGCAATGTTGCACCCTAGAGAATGCCCATTTTTGTAGGAACAGTAAGCACCATTGCTTATACTCCCGCTGAATGATATAATCACTTTGGCAACCTGTTTTGGAGAGTGATGGGTCAGTTGTGTTAGAAAATAATTGCAGCCAAAGGCCACGACCCTTTTCTAACCCGACTGACACATCATCCTCCAAAATAGGTTGACTTTCTCACTCTTTGGCCTTTGACACCGAACCTGGGAGAAAATAATGGGGGTCTGCCAACTGGACCAGTGTGATGATGGGTCTCACTGAAGTGAGGATGAAATTATTGAAGGTGTAAAGTTGTCCAGAGCTGTAGTTTCTTGGATTCTTATATAAGTATTTATTCCTGTCCTGTCAGAAAAAAAAGCTGCTGTCTGGCTCAAGGAAGTTCTTCATAGCTAGATTAACTTTTTTAGGCATGGACCTGGGCCAAGTGAGTTTACTTGTCCCTTGATCACAGACATTGAGAATAATTTGATGCTCTAATGCAGGCTATTGGCCTAAACCATGATAGACCTTGCATTAAACTAAAGTTCTGAAGCTGTAACTTAGATCTTGAACCTTAACTTTTAAAGTCTTTAGGGCTGTAAGACCTTGAACAGCAGGCTATACCTGTACACACATTCTACACTACTCAGGTCGAAGGTCATAGTTGTTTGAACATTAGCTATTATATTTTCATACCCAACAGATGCCACAGTCCAAATGTTTGGTGGGTTGCTTGAATATAACTTTGAAATGGAACTGGCTCTTTGGTTTTAGTGCAGGAAAATAAATTACTGAAGATATGAGCTCTATAAAAATTTATTAATTCATTGAATAAGAAAAAGGAACTGTCAACTTGGTCATTATAGTATAATATAACTAACAGTCAAATTAAAGATGGTCAATTGACTACCCCATCCCTAGTCTAGGCATGTGGGAATGAAACCCGAATATATCCCATTTTATCTGTATTCTTCAGGGAAAGAGGCTCGAAAAAGGGAATTGAAGAAAAACAAGAAGCAGCGGATGATGGTTCGGGCAGCTGTCCTCAAGAATAAAGATCCTCATCAAATTATTGCTGACCTCGAGAGCATCGACCACATGGGTAGGGTAGACCTGCTTTGACATGTGTAGGACCTAGGCCTAGTCCTCTTGGTGCTGTAAGTTATTGTCCTTGTAGCTTTTGCATTTAAAGTGAGTGGGATTTCAGTATCACATATAAGGCAAATTTAGCAAATAAATTGAAGGCAAACACCAAAGCACTTGGAACAACATGGTGTTTCCAAAAAAAACAGTGCCAAATCATTTTCACTATTAATGACAGTAATTATTTGCAGATCGATTTAATTTTTTAAACACTGCTTGTAGGTAGAGGTAAGAAAGTATGTACCAAGTTTGAATAAAATTGACACATTGCATCACATTCTATGCCAGTTCAAACTTGATAGGTGAAAAAAGTGTGCTGTATAAGCCTGCTAATACTTTTGCCACAGCCAGTGAAGCTAGCCTCCTTGGCTGTTCTGTATGGCATGTACAGACACTCGCTTGCTGCACAGTTGAGGTGGATGCATCAGAAAGGATGTCCAATGCATTTTTGTAGCCTATAGGTTTTAAATGATGTAGCATGTGACACATTGGGTCACTATCCTTCAAATTTTGCGAAAACCTTCTTTCATCTATCCACATGCAGTTTGTGAAATATTGGGCCTATCTGATGAAATTTACTATCATTCCTGTGAAGAAAAAAATTTGAAAGTTTTTCTAAACACTGTGTTATGTAGCAGAGTGAATTAGCTTTTTCCCTGCATAAAGTAATAGAGCATAGTAATCTCAATTGCATGAAAAACTGGTAAGGTTGGCACTCAGGAATATACATTTATAGTTTTGAAGTGGTGCACACAATGATCCCTGAAATATGTCTTATTTGCTGATTTAAATTAATTTTTGCCTGAAAGTGAGAAAATAATGTTGGTGCTTCAGTCAGGATATATTTGAAAAAATGTGCAGGGGAAAGGATTAAAGAATGAGAACAACTCTCAGCTAAGTTGAAAGAATAAAGTGGGATGGCAACTTATAATGGCTCTTCATTAGCTTCCTGGACTGGATAATTTTATGTAATTGCAAAGCATCTGTTTTAGTGTTCTGTGTAGGTATCATTATTACTTTGTGCTTCCATGCTCTTTGGCAGAAAATTCCAAATATAAATATCCTTGTATGGTATTGAAATCCACTCATACATCATTTCATATCTATGACAGTAAAGGTGTACTTGACCAATATATCTTGGATCTGTAAAACCTGAGTAAATCTAGCAAGAAAACCAGAGCATCAGTTTGCTCATCCCTTATTTGCTTCATTCTGGAATATTCCTCCAAACTATGGGACTTCTACAGGGTGTTCCACCAGTAACTGTGCAGTAGAGACATAACCAGTCTTATCCAGAAAGATAAGTCATTCAGAAAAACGCACTTATTGCTAGTGATTAAATGCAGCATAAACACCAGGAAAAATATCAATGGTAACAGAAGACCATTTTGAACTGAAATTCATGAATATGCTGAAAATGTGAAATAGCTATTTTGGTTCAGTTCACAGTTACTTTTGTAACACCCTGTATAATGGGCATCTTGAGTAAGTTCAAAAGTAAATTGCTTCCTACGTGGTTAGTAACTGCAACTGGGACACTCAGGGTCAATACTGATAATGTCTTTTATAACTTCCTGCTTTTTGCTGTGGCCAAAGGTACACAACTTCTTAAAATAGAAATAAAGTTAACTCTTTTGATGTAAGAGTCTATTTTTGCCCCAACTTGACACCAGCCAGATGCCATACATTACCCTAGTCAAAGCAGTTTGTGATAGATGATGGTGACCCAGAAGAGATATTCAGAACACGAAGAGTTAGTTTTGACTTGAGGCAACTGTGAATTGAATGAGTAAGTTTGGAATCCAAGTCAGACTGTCACTCTCAAGGCCATGATTCTAGCTCTTCCTCTGACAGCAAAGAGACTTGTTGGAGTAGGTAGCATGGGTGTAGTTTGTTATACCAGTTCCATTCTTGTGACCATTGTGGATCAGTGCTATCAAGCAGAGCTCCTGTTTGAGTCAGCCCCTTCCTGGCTGGAGCTAGGAGGGGGCTGACCCAAACAGTAGGAAAGCTCTGCAAGTGGAGTATCCATGCAAATGTTGGGCATGTTTTCTCCACTTTCTGCAGCAGCTCTTCTTGAACCAAGACATGTGCAAACTTCTACCTTGGCTTTTCTTGACGTGTGTGCAATATCTCACATCTTCAGAAATGCCACTGCCTTGTAAAGCAGAGCAAAGAAATGCTTTTGAAAGAAAATAACAAGTACAAGCTGGAGCAAGAGGGGGTTAGGCTACTGAAGGGAGACTAGACCTCTCATTCACTGGTAGCTCCATGTGGAGATGCTAACTACAGGGTGGGCCAAAAATAACTTTGGCCATCTACATTGCTCCATAGCACTGGTCCCCAAGAGTTTGCTAAAATTGCAACAGCACCTCCATATGGAACATTCATTCAACTTTCCAATGTAAACAGAATAAAGATTCTTGGCATAACTTCCATATAGCTAGATAAAGAGTATAGAGTGTTTTTCAAATGGATTCATACCACCTTTACCATGGGGCCCATGCGTTTCTATGGAGGAATCCTCCCAACCTGGTGGTGCTTTTGTTGTGGTGCCTGGGCGACATCAAAACATATGTAGAAGCAACTACTGTGTATTGGAGATTGTTGAGGCTGAAAATAAAGTATAAAGGACTTGGGTTTTTGCTTTTTGTGTGGAAAATGATAGATTGAAATAACAAGTGTTTTAAAAGAGGGCCCAGAAATACATGGAATGAGAAATCACACCATGGAAATTTTGATAGAAACAATCAAGTATTCATAGAAGGGAGGAAACATACAGTGGCCAAGTACAAGGAAGGATAGCTATAATACAATGGGTGAGTTCAAATTTGGTGTTGGTGTTCCATGTTAGTGTTCCGTGTAACGCGAACTCCACCCCTTAACACCTGATTTGAACTCTCCATGTGGTGTTGGTGCAACACCAGGTTAAACATGAAATGCCATCTCAATCCCAGTTCAGTTTTGGTGTGGAGGGGATTCCCTATACTTCATCAAGGGGTGTTACACTAATCCCTAGGGGTTAACACCAGAATGAGTTCAAAAGTGGTGTTAGTAGCATAAGTGACTGGCAGTAAGTAGAGGCAAGAATTGTGTGAAGTTTATAGAGAGATAAAAGGAAAGAGGGTTGAGACATCGTGAACACGCACACTTTATGTGCTTCATAACATGGTGCCTCAGTGGAAGTGCCATCATAACTGAACTCTACTGCCATCACTCTCAGATGAAAATTCGGGTTCTTTCGCTCCTGGAATCCCTGGCAAAAGAAAATAGGGAGTTTCTCCAACATGGCACCGGCATTTCAGCCACTTCTTGACTGGAGCCTCTCAGTTACTTAAGAGGTACGTAAGAGTGCTGCAAGGTATGTTTAGGTAGTTGGACTCGGCAAAATTTGCATGAAAACAATCCACTTCCATGACATCGGTTCAGGAAACTTCATTATCATTGTAGATGGAACATCTCTAATGAGAAAGTAGTCCCTCTCCTGTATGCATCCATATAGTGGGCCTCACATCTTAAAATCAATCTCATCTAATTACTGCTAACACAATTACCAAACTTGATGACTGCTCGTAACTGTGATAAGATCAACATGAATGTTGCAAGATTATATGCATCACTGCATATAGTATCAAGGAGCTTTTTATGCATGAACTCATACATAAAAATTTACTGTGGTGGCCATAAACTGGCAAACTTAGTAGCAATAAAGAAAATCTTTATAAGCTGAATTTCCCAAATTATCTAGAACACAAGGTGTAAATCAGCCAGTATTCTAGATAGCTGAAAGCTTTAAAAAATAGTGTCACTAAGGCCATCCCAAATCTCCTTTTGTTTGCTGTGTCACGTAGTGCAATAGGGCATCAAAAGTTCTGTTTTTATGAGGAGGTAATATCAGAAAATAAATGCCTATTATGTATTATGGCATAAATGCCTATGTTATCATCATTTTGGAAAATACAAAGTAGCTTGTTAAAAAAGTATTCGTCATACGAACATAGACCTAATGAGATGATTAAGGCATAGGCAAGGTTGTAATTCATTTGCAATCACATTTCATGAGTCTAGTGCTGATCACTAGTTGTGTTATACATAACCCTTCAATTTTATGATAAGCCTTGAACCTGAGAGAAAAATGAAAGCTGCCCTAAGATGATGCCATTATTCTGGGTTCCATGTTAGTGTTGGTGTTAACGTTTGTGTCAGTGTTGGTGTTAACGTTTGTGTCAGTGTTGGTGTTAACGTTTGTGTCAGTGTTGGTGTTAACGCCGAAGCTGGTGTTAGGTGAAGCCTCTCAACACTAGCACCAAACACCAACACCCGATTTGAACTCACCCAATGTCTCAGGCCAGGCTGATGTGGGATGGAATCACCCAAGCAGAATCTCCTCTCGGAATCGAGTCATATTTGAAATTAATGCAGAGAGCGGAAGAGATACAGAGCATATTTAACACAGAAAGCACTTCTTTCTATGGTTTTTTGTCATTGAAACCCAGGAGGCGAGGAATCAAGTCCATGTGGTGGTGGGCTCTTCCTCCGCCAACAGGCAACCCACCTGCTTTCCTGGGGAACATCTGCTTAGCGTGGGATAATACACATGCCACTATTTGTGCTACGTCTAGGAGATACGGGTGTAGTTCAGATTAAAAAATCACTTGTGCCAGTCACAAGCTTAGGCAATCCGTGAGCTGCCCCTTTGGCCTCCTAAAGGAACGTTGAGGGGTGTTCTTGCCTGAGGGACTGTGAGACAGATGCAGTGCCCGTGCCAAGCATGCACCCCCTCCCTCTCTGTGTACTGTAATTGGTCCGTTGTCATTTGTGTCTGCCGCATGTCCTGTCTTTTTTTTTAAAAAAAAAGTGCAATTAGAAACTGTGTGAGAGGTATTGAAGTTTTGGGGAGAGCAAGAATAACACAATTTGAAAAAGAAAAAGCCATGAAGCTAAAATAAAAATATATAAAAAATTCCATTAATTAACATGAAAGTCCAGTTTTTGTATTTAAATGCTGCATCATTCCCAATTAATTATGCTAAAGAATTGGGAGATACAAATCAGAGAATGAGAAGGTTGCAGAGGTTGTCAGAAGTGCAGTGAAGCATCATTTATGGTATCTTAGTGAACCATCAACACATTCAACCCCAGAACTGGAGATCTCTGGTTCACAATTCCCTGTTCCTACAGCCTGGAATCAGAGAACTCTGGCTTAGCACATTCTGTGCATAGAACATTCACTGAAAATCTGAACTCAGTACCTTTTGTAGTTTTAAAGTTATGTATATTTAAGTAAAGTAATGTGAAAAAACAGTTTTTTGTTGAAAACTGGCCAGGCTGTAGGGCTAGTAAGTGCATTTCTGACTTGGACTGAATGTGTTAATAGAATTGTGCATATTTTCAAACAAAGTGACAGATGCAGAGAAAAGTGATTAGCCATCAAATATTTAGAAAGCATATCCTTTTCTTCTGTATCTATCAAGTCTCTCTGCCTATCAAATTTGATAGACAAGGAAGAAGAAAAAACAAAATGCTTGAAATGAACTAATGCTGTTGATCCAAAAGCGTAACAAATGAGAGATTTCATGCCTCCACTCTCAATGTCCTTGTTTCACTGCCCATGTTACTGGTGTCATTTTTACTTGAAAACCTCTCACATGTATTGACATGGAACAGTACACGAGTGCTGTTGAAAACAGAGTTTGAAGGGTTGTCAATGATTATGCTTAATGGGCAGTGAAGTTAACCCTTGACTATGACCAAGTCATCACCAAATGTGAGCAGAAGCTCTACATCCTCCAAGAGTTCAGCAGCACTGAAAAGATTTTGAAACCAGCAAAAAATCAACACTGGATCAGAAGTGTGGAGAAATCGAAGCAGCAATAACAAGTGGCACCTGTGAACCCCCTCCCCCCATGTGGAGCTAATATTCACAAAATGTGAGGAATCTGGTTGCCATGCCACTCTCCCTGGGTTATAATGACGAAAACTAAACATCCTTTGAGCAACTTTTAAATATGTTCTGATTGAGCTGATTTTTCACACAGATGTTTCTATTTGGAAGTGTATAAAGATGAGGGGTTAAAACTATGAAAATGTCATCGTTGAAAAAAATGAATTTTTTTTTTTGGACCACCCTTAATGTTCATTCTCAAACAATGATGGGTCATTATTTTACTCAGATCATAGAGATTTTATGATATCCCTTACTTTTTTCTTAGAGTTTATTTTTCAGAAGCTTTGTAAGTCAATATGGACCATTCTTTAGTGTCATGGGACAAAATGTACTTGAATGAGTCCTGATGATTCTTTTAATAACTGTAATTATTGTATATGCTGCTGAAGCACATCTCTTAATTCTGTTCTACATCCACCAACATATGACAGCCATTCCTTTGAGTGTGGAACCGTTATGGCTGCTTTCTTCGCATTCATGCATCATTCCCATGAATTTTCCTGCTCATTATTGTCAGTTCAAGTTTGACTGGAAACGAGCAATTTTCATTTAAATACTTGGATTAAATACCTGGGATTCTATTTTCATTCTGATGTATATGTTTTGCTACCCACTTTTAGATGGTTTGTTATTTATTTACAGTACGATTCCCCTTATTTTTGAGAGTGGAAAGTGAGTACAGGTATTATGGAAAGCCTAGGACTCTTCTAGACTCATTGTCAGCATTTTGGAAATGGTGTTCAGCAGACTTACCGTATGGATAGATTATTTTTGGCAACTTCTATCTGTCTTTCAACATTCTTTATTACATTTTTATCATATAGAAGATAGAAAATGGATAACTAATTACCAAAATTCATGCTGGAAATTGATTTTTTGTTTATTCATATAGGAATAGTCACTTCATCCTGCTTTGAGTTGTGGTGACTGCCACAAGAAATAAGCAACAAGCAATACAGCACATTCGTTGATCATCTGATGCTTGGCCCAAATGATAACAATATGAGAGGTACATTTCAATACTGGAGAAGTTTACACCTTTTGTAAGCACCCTTCAGGCGGTTTGTAACTCACTTTTGAAAGCGTTTTCTCTTGTATTTCCATGATGAAACCAAATAGTGGTGTGCAGTTGGAATTGGGATTTAGGATTAATTTTGGTCCTCCTGCATCTGGATTTCAGCTTTCAATTTATTTTTGGCCCCTAATTATTAAAGGGATTGAATGATTTGGTAAAAATTTGTTTTGGGCAGGGAATGACCTTCGTGTCATTCCCTTCACAAATCTGGCCTTCATGTACTGAATGACATTTTCCTAGGTCTAGGGCTAACATTAGCCCCAGACCTATGGATAAGGTTGACTGCCGTTCATATTTATATGCCATAAGTTGTATGATTCATAATACTTTTGCTTCCTCCAGAGTTCAGTGTGGATCATCCTCCTGCCCTGAATGAGAAGGTGTTGAAGGAAAAGAGGAAGAAACTCTGTGAGACACTTGAGAGAATTGTGAAGCTGTATGTAAGTGGTTCTGCATGCAATCATTACTTATCCTGAATTTTTTACATATAATTAGTGTAGTAAGAGTTCATTATTCTATGCAAAAACAGTTTTAATAGTTTTGGGTATATATCAGGTAACACAAAAGAAAAAGCATCCTGTTTGACACTATAAAATCCACTGTGGATCATTTAGATTTGTGATTTTTTTTGTATCACATTGGAAATGCTAAAAATTTGTTTCCTGAAAGTTTCATGGTTCTAGGTTGCCTGAAAAAAAAGCAACAGCCACTCAAAGTAGTCATAAAATATACCTTCTCTGCACATGAGATGGATGGAGTTTCATAACTGCTCAAAGGATTTCCCTCCCTTGATGCCATAATGGATGCTTTATATACCATGTCCTCATTGTAGTGTTCTACGGCATAGAATTGTACTGCTGTCTTGTCATAATATCAAAATTTGTTTGGCATAGAAACAAGGCATAAAGCCTTGTTCTCATAGTATTCCATATCATATGGACTAGGACTAGCAGCCATATGACATAATATTCTATGTCATATTGTTGCTTTCTAGACATAGAATGTCTAGAAAGCAGTCTTCATGGCATCAAAAGAGAAAAATAATTTGAGCAGCACCTGAAACTCCATCCATCTTATGCTGAAAAGTGTTTCTGATGTGATATGAAAACATCATAAATCTAGATGATCCACTAGGGGTTTTATGAAGTGTCAAACAGCTTTCTTTTTTGTGCCACATGGTATAATAAAGGAGGCATGAAATGAATTATTTCCACATTGGTGATGGTAAAGTATTATTAGGCACAATAGTGCCTGATGGGAGAAATTTTCCAAAATTATAGCATTTTCCTATTCACCTTCCCAACTCCAAGTCACAAGTCTAAGTATACTATAGTTTGTCCATTATATCTGAGTTAGAGAAGTACGTCATGGCTTGGGATCTGCTTGTTTTTCATCACCATTTCCTCAGTCGTTGGTGTAGCAGCTCCTGAATCATTTTTTTTTTGCAAATGAGAGGCAATTGCAATTGACTTCCCTGGAGATATGCATTTTGGGAGTCGTGTGCACTGAGCTCCATGTCCTGGTATTAGTATTTAAAAAATTGTTTTAAAAAGTTGATAAACCTTGCATTGGGTCAATCTTAACACATTCACAGGTGTTTGGTTTTGGATGGTAACTTTCTTCCTGTGCCTGCCATTTTTTTGCTCAGAGTTTTTTTTTTTTTTTTTAAGTTACTGCCCAAGAAATACTATTTGAGCACCATCTGTTTGAGAATTGACAAGTTGAAGGAGGCGTGAAGATATCTATCGACGTCATTGGCACTGGCAACTTGTGCTCGGTGAATATATCAATCAATGTCTTTGGTAACAAATGTGTTAAGAAATGAGAAAACATATGTATGGACTTAGTCTGAGCACAAGTGTGTGTGTATTTGGGGAACATCATGACTGACCAGATAGTGAAATTACCAAGAAGAATATTGAGATATTGATTGGCTGTGTTGATCAGCTGTCATGCAATAAAATCTATTGCATTTATTTGGTTCATCTCTAAGTAACATTGTTTCTATAGCTATGGCACTGTTATGGAAGTATTAATTCTTTGCCAAGAATTGCACCAGCTTGGTCTCAAAATGAATCTGTCATTGTATAAATCATGTATTGCCAGCATGTCACCAGAGATGAGTGAAGATTGCATAGATGAAAATGAATCCATGTGTGAACATAGGAGAAGGAAGACCCAGAAAGATGGGCTGAAATTCGTCGCATGGAAGCTGAATATGAAAAGAAGAGACTCCAGATGATGCAGTATCATGAGTCAGTGAAGTTTGCCCAGCAAGTAGCTGTAGATGAAATCCCACTTCCATCAGTAGGCATGCCAATGCCAATGCCAGCTCAGATTCCTCTTCCTCCTGTAGCAGCTGATGTACCTCATATTCCCTTTCCGCCTGGACCAGGCATTCTGAAGCGAACTGGAGAGAAGTGAGTTTTTGTTACTTTGTCTTGTGAGCATGTCTTTATGGAATTCTTTCTGTGGCATACACCAGTTTATTTTCAATAGTTCATGAGTCTTTTAACACATTGACTGCCCATCCCAATATGCTCTATCAACATCTGAGAATCTCCTGGCTTAGGCTTGCCAGAGGCCCACGCCTCATATCATATCAACCTCCCAAGCCACAGGGTTACAGTGCTAAGGAAAATAAATGAATCGCTTGTCCAGTTAACTGGGTATGGGCTTCCTGCTCTGGCCATTCATGACTAGTTAACTGGACATGTAGCATCCAAGCTAATGATACTGGGATTCATGCCACACTGCTATAATTTCCAGAGAAGTTGATGACTATATTGGCAGTTGCTCCTTTTTTGTTGCTGTTGCATTAATTTTAATATCTGAGCTCATAATTCAGGCAAGCTGATTTTCTCTGCCAACTCTTTTTCATTTTTTATTTTACAAATAACTGGATAGTATTAATGAAAGAACCTTAATCTGGTTGGCAACTTTGACATGTGGGATAACTGCAGATCAAAGCAAATCGCAATATTAAAGAAGTTACTGTGACTCCTTAACCAGATAGTTTTTATAACAGAATGGAAAGATCCATGGATCCATCCGCACCAGCTGGCAGGAGAGACTAGTTTGATGATTCTGTAACAATCGGTGGAAATCGTGGAATGGAAATGTATTTACTGGGAGTGTGTATACGTGTCTGAGGCACTGTGTGATTATTGGCTTGGCCTAATACTTGTTGATGTGTGGTGTGGTGTGTGCCAGAGGATTCCATCTTTTCACGATGGAATTGGGGAAAGATTTGACTTCCATCGTTTCTTGAATGAAACCTGCCATGCCTCCAACTATTGTAGATGACATCCATTCATCAATGGATGCATCAGGACAGCCCTAATTTTTTCTTATTGCTGTTGAGAATCAATTGCCACCTAATTTTGTTTCTCATTTTCTTCATTCTACATGGTCTTAAAACATTGACTCTGGCAGATGTTGCCATACCAGCAGTTGCTGAAACATCTGTTGAGCCCTAGAATAAGCAACATCCATGTAAAGAATTCACTTTGGTTTCACCTTTAAGTAAAGAGGTAAAGTGTCCCAGGGCAAGTTAAAAATATAAAAAACTAAAGCCTACATACTAAAGGGAAAGACAAGAATATACTGCAGAGAGGGGGATTAACCTATCTATGTTTCAAAATCAAGGGAGTACAAGAACAGTCTACTTTTGCAACATGCACCTGATGAGATTGAGCTGAAGACTGAAATAGAAGAGGAAAAATATTTTTTGTGTTCCTTCCCTCTCCTTTCCCACTTCCTGTCTGATCCCAAATGTTTTTTTTTTCTTCCCATCTTTCTTATAACACGTTGTCAGTACCAGCATTTCCAGAATTTGATCAAAAAAAGAAGCCCATGCAGGTCATGCCACTGTTTCCTATCCCAGCTCAGATATACTGTATTGTATTGTACTCGCCTCAATGCAATGGGACATATCCCATTAATATACGAGGGTGTATTAGAAAGTAATTTTCCCATGTCTCTAAAAAAAAAATTAATATATTTCCAACAATTGTTCAACATTCGATAATACGAAACCCTGTTCTCATTCTACTTTTCTACGTAATCACCACTGACATTTATACATTTGTCCTATCAGTAAATTAGTTTTTCCAAACCCTTTTGAAGGAAGTCGGCACAGACGTGAGAACCACTCTCAGGTTGCTTGCTTCACTTCTTTGTCACTTTGAAACGTCTGGCCTGCAAGATGCTTCATAAGCACAGGGAAGAGGTGGAAGTCACTGGGAGCCAAATCAGGACCGTATGGTAGGTGGTCAACAACCTGCCACTGAAATCATTCCAACAATTGCACCATTGCCACTGCAGTGTGGGGCTGTGCATTGTCTTGCAGGAGTTGAGATTCTTTCTGTCGTATGGCTTTGTGAAGCTTTTCCAGGGTGGCACAGTATGCAGCAGCTTTAATTGTTTGACCCTTTTCAGTGAAGTCCATTAACAGTATGCCACGTGTACACCCAAACACAGTCGCCATTACCTTTCTGGTAGAACCTCAACTACTGCAAGAGGGTATCCTCCTTCTGCAAGAGGGTATCCTCCTTCTGCAAGACAATGCAGGGCCTCACACTGCAGCAGCAACAGTGCAATTATTGGACGATTTCAGTGGCAGGTTGTTGACCATTTATGATATGGTCCTGATTTGGCTCCCAGTGACTTCCACCTCTTCCCCATGCTTAAGAAGCGTCTTGCAGGCCAGCGGTTTCAAAGTGACGAGGAAGTGAAGCAAGCAATCAGAGTGGTTCTCACATCTGTGCTGACTTCCTTCAAAAGTGTTTGGAAAAATTAATTTACTGATGGGAAAAATGGGAACAGGGTTTCGTATGATCGAAATGTTGAACGATTGTTAGAAATATATATATTTTTTGAGAGGCACAGGAAACTTACTTTCCGATACATCCTCGTATTTTGCTGATACATTGCAATGGTAAGAAAAACTATTGATACCTCCAACCATCAATAGTGGTACTGATGCATCGATCTATTGTGACCACCCTAATTATTTTGCATTATACTGGGTGGCCCAAAATAAAGTCCTGAGCTTTATGTGCCTGCAGATGGTGTACCAAATGAGTTATCAACAGGAAATTTACAGGCTTTTACATGCAATGTTTGTAGGTAATGTAGCAGAAATTTCATTGAAATTGGTAGTAAACTACACAAGTAAAAAATTCTCTCCTGAGCGGTGTCAAAAGAACAAGTGTGCAAAGAAATGTGCCTGACCTAAATGAAAGAAATGCTTGAAGGGTCCTCCATGGATGTGTCCTCTTTGGATTGCCCACCAAGGCAGCATGCTGGCAAATGCACTGACACACTTGCTCATTTGACTGCTTGTACGGAAAGGGCTCTTACTCAAGTTATGAATAAGGAATTTCATTTAAAATTTCCTAAAACACAACTTCATACGCACTGCAAATTTCAAGATGATGCCTAGCATGGTGTCCTGTCTACAGACACATGAAGTTTGGAACTTTTTTTTGGACCACCTGGTATTAACATTTTTGTGTCTGCTGAGAAGAAATTTATAATGCTGCTTCTTCATGCCAGTTTTGTACAGGGAAGCACTTATGAGTTTTATTGTAAGAAAAAAGAAAGTGACAGGATTCACAATGCCCTCATAAGTATGAATCCAGGATGAAGCCCTGTGGTAGAGAATGGCTGAATCGTGTGCAGAAAATGCAAATCCTAGTCCCTAGGAGCAATTATTGGTGGAAAAGAGAGTGGAAGTCCTGCAGGATACCCAATGCCAGCATTCAATTTGATATAGGTGTCACCTCCTGGGAGAGATTTCTCTGTCAGCTTATGTTGTGCAGAGATTTTAGTTACCTGAACAATGGTTCTCGACCTTTTCAATCCTGCAGACCATCTTAACAACTACAATGTGATACCCATCCCACTACAGACTTTAGAGCCACATAATTATTTCTCCTCTACTTGTTAGTTCCTATTTCTATATTATGGATATTTGTAATGGCCCACTGGTAGACTGCAGCCAACCAGTTGAGAACCACTGACATAGAATATACCAGGATTGATATAAAGTCTGCTCTTTCTTGGATTAGACAGAAATCTGGCAGCATTCTTGATTCCATCTTTAGAGCCAGGAGTCATTCCTTGTCATGTGGTCCAGTTTTCAAGAGGTTATTTGTTGCACTGATTGGATTGGGATTTGGCTGTTGAAAAATTGTGTGCATGGGGGTTATAGGAAGCTAGTAAATCCAAAATTTCAGCAGTCATGATCCAACGGCCTTCAAAGTACACATGCCCCTTTGAAGTTTGGAAGGAGAGAATAAAATGACCCCTTGGACAAATGCAACATTGCCCAAACTTCTCAAGCTAGAAAGCTAGTTAAGAGCTGATTCTTGAGTATGAAACCACGAAATTGAAACTTACTCATGATTTTTTCCTTCTATTGCAAAAAAAATTGCAATTTTTTAAGTTTCAAAAATTTTTAAATTGTCAACCTAAAAATATATTAGATGAAAATGCTTCTAAATAGTTTAGTGTTGTGGTTACTTTCATGATCTATGAGGCTTGGCCAAAAATATTTTAAATTAGTTTTTGTTTCTAAAACCCACTGTATGAGCTTAAAGTTTCAAAGTTTGCCATATTTGTCCAACTTTGACCTTCTTTAATTTAACTTTTGTAACTTTTGTTTAATTCTAGGTATGGGGATAGTTCATCCACAAAATGATAGATCACTCAGAGGTCCTTTGAAGCAGTGTTGCACTCCAAAATCCTGAAAGTTGAGAATATTTCTGATTGACCAGCTGAAGCTCATCATATCATATCATGAAGCTCTTAAATCTGCATGGATAATTTTTCAGGCACAGAAACATATTGTATTTGATTTTTGGATTCAATATGACTTGGGAAACACTTATATGCATTTAAAAGTTCACGTTAGAATATATTAGATTTAAGTTTAAGTTATTACAGATACAAACATTGGAAAAATCATTCAACTTCACTGGATATACTTTCAATCAAAATGCATCTTGCACCATACTTTTCTTGATGTGTCTTCATTAGTTTCCCAATTCTAATTGTGAAGAGCTAGGAAATGGCTGAGAAAAGAACTTCTGAAATGTACTCTCTCTACAGACCTTTTGTAACCTCCAAGCCCCCTCAATTTCATGTGCTGTAAATTCAAACAGAGATGCACCTGCCACATTCTAAATATATCCTCACTATCACCATTTAAAAAGTAACATCTGCATTATTTGTTCTGTTGGAATAATTCTGAGGATTGAATACATTTAACCCAACCCCTGGAGGAAGTGTATGTCAAGATCCTACTTTGGTTCCTTGATCGACTCCATGGGGGCTATGCATTTGGATATAATCTTTAGTTAGGAAGTAGAAAGATAAGTACCTACAATGGTTGCTAAACACATTCAAATGACAGCAAACCTGATGGAAATGAAAGGCTTCAAAAGATGAAAGTTTACATGTGTAAAAACTTGCCTCACCTTACTGTTTCTTTTAGAAAATGGCATTTTTGAATAAGATGGTGTGCTGATGAAACAAATGCATGTGGAAAGGGGCTGGAGAGCAGTTCACATTGTATGAGAGTTCCACTGGAGTTTTTTTTGGAAATTACTTACTTGAATAACACTTGAAACATAGTTTCAAGTATCTAGTTTATAGTGTAAGCAGGACAGACAGCCTATGAGCTCAAGATGCTATGCTGGCAACTGGTCAATTTTTGCCCATATCTCCTTTTCTGTGCCTGTGCAGCCAAAGATTCAGAGATCATTAGAGGAACAAGACCAACATCTAGAGGCTGATATGCTTAAGATATTATGTAATTAACTTCATCTTTCAGATATCTTTATGTTTACAGATGCTGGTATTAAGCTGAGAAGAACTACTATTTCTTCTTGTCCTCATAACAACTTGTTTTGACAGAGCACTTGGAGAGGAAAGATACAAGGAACCACCTGGAGTGCCTTCTGGACCTCCTCCAATTCTCAGTGATGCTGAGGAGGGTGGAGAGGAGTCTTGGAGTCAGCTTGATGATCAGGGTGAGACTTTTTCTCTCTGACAAAATTACTAGCAACATTTGGTATGTGGACAGAATCTCGAATGAAAGGTATATTGAGTGGACAGAATCTTGAATTCCAAGTTCCATTGAATGCATGAAAAATGCCCACAGAAAGAAAGCCCATACCTGCAAAGGATGCACAAATGACCACTTGAGTAATATTTCCAAGTATCTCTCATGGCATATTTCCTTACTTGGCAAAACAAATGCATAATATTTTTCAATAGTAATATAAAACTATTGAATACATCAAATAGATAGGTGAATATTAAATATATTATTTAGATTTAAATGATTGATTTAAAGATTAAATATAATAGATAGATAGATAGATAGTCATCAATTAGTCTTTATGTTTAAACATGAACATAAAGAAGAAAATTCTTAAGATATCAAGCCAGAATGTTTCAACGCTGGATTAATGAAAGTAAGAATGTTTTCAGGAATGCACAGGAAAACATGGGAAACAGGTCTTATGAGGTCAGATTAGGTATGTGGGATTGTATCACTAATTCAACCATTCCTTGGACACATTCTGATAGCAGTGGGGTAATTGAAGTTTGACATGAGAATGTCTGGTTACCTGCAATTATCTTGGAGATAAGGATGTTGATCCCAAGGAAGGCTGAATGGTGCAGCTCCCCACAGAGAATCACATAAGAAAATCATTTAAACAGTGTTTTAGAGAAGCCCCAAGTCAAGTATTGATTGACTATCCCCTTGTGCCCCCTGTCAAGTATGGGGAGGAAAGTAAGATGCCATTGCCTGAAGCATTTGCAAGTGTTTAATATATAATTATGATGTATTGTGGCTATTCATGTCACTTCAAGTGACACCTGCCAATTCTTATTTCTAATCCCTCTTAATCCTTAACCCATGGTCAACCTTTGTGGCTAAAGGTATCCCCGCATTTGTGCTCCTTTAAAAGTGTGTAAATGCCTCAGCTCAGTCAGTCAGGACATTTTGATCAGGAGTTCAGGATCATTGCTGAATTAGTTGAGAGTCACAAAGGCAATGAAGATCTTGTTCTAAACGGGTATATTTACAAATGTGATTCACTTGGAAGTAATTGGACCATAGTGATGCTTTGAGGTCAAGTTGGGATGCAAAGGAAGAGCAATTCAAGACAGCGAGGGAATCGGAGAAGGCCAGAAGCATGATCATCCAGTTTGTCCCACACGAGTTGAAGTCAAGCAAGTGCTTCACAAAATCAAAGAGCATGTGACCACTGAAGTTGAACCTCCAACTTGTGTCAAGGAGACATCAAAAGCAATTCAAGACCAGCTTCCTTCCATCTCTGAGATTAAGAAATAAGCCCAACACAAACAGAGAGCAGTGTCTGGTCAACCTGCAGCACCAATCTCTATCACCAACTTTCAACTGGTGTAGCCGTATATCTTGACCTGCAGTGGTGAGCAATTTCTCCATGAATTGTTAACATTGGTTGGATTTTGATCCTCACCACTCAGAAGAATTTGAATATTCTCATCAAATCTGACCAATGGATGGCTGATGGGGCATTCAAAACAGTCCCCCCTCACTTCACTCTACTTTCGACCATTCATGCGATCAGGTTCAAGATGGCTCTCTCCTTGATTTTCCCTCTGCTTCCAAACAAGTAGAAAGAGACAAACATGAAGACCCTTCATGTCATTGAAGAGAAAAAGCCAGGGATGGACCCAAAATTGATACTGACTGACCTCAAGCAAGCCAAAATTTATGCCTATAAGGATGTGTTTCCAAATGTCAAAATGCAAGGATCCTTTTTTATTTTCAGTCAAAGCTTCTGGCACAAGATTCAAAGATCAGGTGAACTGCAAGTGCAATACCAAAATGCAGGAGACCCAAGTTTCAATGTTTGAAAAATCTCCACCTTGGCATTCGTTCTGGCTGAAGATGTTGAAGAGGCATTTGGAGATATGATGGAATTCCACTTTTCAAGGATGAAAACAATTGTGCTTTGCTTTCATCAGTAATGGATCATGTTTAAGACAACTGGATAAGTCAATGTCTGTGACATGGATGCACTTGCTGAGCTCCAGCTTTCAACATCAAGCTCTGGAGTCAATATGAAGGAACACTTCTTGACCTGAAGACAAAAAAACAAATTCAATGGATGGTACAGAGGTTTTGCAAGCCTTATTGCCTCATTTCATCCAGTTTTCTGGAAATTCATTGATGCAATCAAGAAGGAACAGAGCCTGTCAGAGGTTTAGGTAAACCAATTTGACAGGAGGATGGTAAGTTAGAGATGAAAGAATGAATCACTGTGGCCATTCAAATCAAGAAAATTGTGTCTGAGTACCATCAGCGCAACTCAGATACATACTGTGGAGGAATCACACAAAATATAGAATATTAAGTCATGTCTTATATATACAGCTTTTCTTTTTAATCTATTTTGAACTTAAATTGTCCATTGATTATTACATTGTCCAATTGAATATAACCATTGACAATTGTCCATTTGATTCTTTTGATTGATAATAAAGAACTTCTAAAGAGCTTCTAAAAATGTTCATTGAGATTGAGTTAAAATGCCTGAAGTTGAGATTGTGAATTTAGAGCAGTGACACACAACCTGCAGGTCCACGGGCCACATGTGGCCTGCAGACCTTTTTTGCAGCCCCTTGGATGCCTTAGGTCTCTGAAGATCCATATTTATATGTGGTCTATTTTGAAATCTCAATTTGGCCCTATAGGGGGAAAAGGTTGTGTACCACTGATTTAGAGAATATGGAGTTAGAGATTCTGCCCATTCGAGATTCCATCATTCGGATTGTTGATTTTTTAGATTCTGGGTTCGAGATTCTGTACAGGACTCTAATATTTTGACTATTGGGTACTTGCCATAATTTTATTTGAGAAGTTGTACTAATAGGAGAAAGTCTCATGCTGTTCTACAGATGCCTATGAGGGGGAGACAGAAGTAAACCCTCCAGTCCCTGGAGAGGAGAGGCAGAAGAGAAGAAAGATTCGTTTTGCTGATGAGAAGAGAGAAGGGAGAGATGAAGGAGAGGGAGAAAATGAAGGGGATAAGGCAATACCACCCTCTAGCATTCAGCAAAAGATGCTTACCATGGCAGGGCAAGATATAGATGAGTTCATGAAAGAGATGGAAGCTGTTCATCGGGAAAGGCAAGCCAAGAAGGATGCTGAGCTACGCTCTCGATTGAGCAGAGTTGGAGAAACTCCTGGTCATGGACATATTCCTCCGCCACCCCCACCTTCTATTCCTCCACCTGGTTCATTCCATTTCTTCTTGTTCTCTATGTTTCTCAGTAAAAACCAGTTATTGATGATTATGTCTCATAATGCTACAGGGATGATGTTCAGAAGTTTGCCACCAACTGGATTGCGATTGCCACCAGGCCCACCTCCTGTTCCGACTAGAATGCGTCTACCACCTGGTCCTCCACCTGGTAATCATGTGACTGCATTTCATAGCCATCATTATTTGTGTGGTGTCAGAGAATGTAGGCTCACATCTCATTTTAATGTGCTGATATGGCTTGGGAGGATTGGGAAACGTTTAAGTGTTAGAAACTCTTTCTAAGGTTTCTGCTTTGACCAGACCCTTGTCTGAACCCTTGTATTCATTGTGGTGGAAGTGAAACATGTGCTGGTGGTAAGTGAAGTTGATTCATTTCATTGTTTTGTCTTCAGTCAGGGTTATACACTGAAATTGAATTTTTCCAAAAAAGAAAGACAGTAAAGTCAAATCAGATGTATGATAGGAGGGACCTAAGTAGCTGCTTCACTCCAAGATGGAGGTCAGCAAATTCTTTTGCAAGAAGTGGCTGGAGTCTCCTGCAACTCATTACATCAGTTGGTAGCAATGACCTCCATGGTTCTCAGAGAGGCAGTAGACACAGGTGGGTTTAAGGTCATGATGCTCTGTGTAGTGTTTTGTTTGATGATGGAACCCATAGCTTTGCATAGCTGTGAGATGGCAATTAATCTGATACACTCATATTGAAAGATAATTGGTGAATACAAGACTTTCGGTGTAGTTGTTCTTTATGAACCTTCTGTGCCTCTTATTGATCTTGGCTTCATAATCTGCAAGACATATTTCTGAAATGGAAAGTGATTGTACATCTTGAGCTTATGACAGAGGGTATCAGTGTGTATTATTTGGTGTGCTAGAGTGGCAGAGGTGTTATGAGAAGAGCAGATAGTCTTATTCAGAAAGGTGCTTTCACCATGTTCAATTTCAAAAAGCTGCAAGGCTTCAGGTAAGGGGCAATCACCTAGAGTCCATTAGAGAGTAGAGGGTTTATCTTGGTTGTGAAAAGTTTTAAGGCATTCCTGATCTTCAGCAAGTGGATGTTGGTGAGAGGGCTGATCATCCTCAATGCTGGCTTTCCTTGGTCTCAGTATGATTTGTGAAAGCCAGCATTACCCATAGGGTGACCCACAAGTATTTGTATGCTCTCTCCTAGTCAATGTGATCATTGCTAAATTCGTAGGATAATTAACATTAAACATCCTATTGAACTCCATGGAGAAAAGTAACTCCATAGATGCAACCAAAAAGAATGATTTAGATATGTGATTGGCATTGAAAGTCCTTGAGGGTTCGGTTTTTGTCAGTACCCTTGTCTGATCCATACAATTCCCTGCTATGCAATTTACAGGTAGGTCTTTTCACTGTTTGTGTCCCAATGATTGATACTCAACTATCACAGAATTAAGGAAACTTTAGTAAGCATTTGGATTCAGGAGAGAACACTTTTCAGTATGACTTTTAAAGTCATGTGTCTCTACAGCTAATTGGGACTGAGATACTGTAGGTTGAAATTAGCCAAGGAGGCAAAAAAATGCCATTAGTCCTAAGGTGCTATTTTCCTTGTTCCTTGTCCAAAGAAACTGCCTTATTACCTGGCAGTGTAAAATAATATTTTAAAAACTCCCGCTGTGGTAATCATGACACCTGTGTCCAATGCAGAAGGAGGAGCCTATGCATCTGTGAAACAAAATACAAAGTGATCTTGAGGTTTTGTAGTTCCTGCATGGTTTTTACCCTTTGAAGTTGTGTAGTTGATTATTACTTACAAGAGAATGTCCTTATTAGGACATTCTCTTGTAAGTAATCAATAACATGATGAAGTTGAAATGTCTTGAAGTTGGAGGCCATTTTTGTCCTAGTAGCTAATTTAAGGTAGTAAGGGAGGGAAAACTGACCATCTGGGGTTCAAAATCTAAAAAGTAATTTTTGTGGGGGATCCCTAGAAAGAAGGGAAAAGAGGGATCACATAATCACCCCTTACCCTAAGTTCAATGAAAATAATTACCAAAGTTGCTGCCATTTGGTTATTCAGCATGTCAAATTCAAATGGCTACGTGAAAACCATCCACCAGAGGAACAAGAAAATAATGTCATCAAAATGCTAAGATAATTGACTTTTGAATGAGGGTTAAGATTCAAGTTAAGTCCTATGGTCACAAGACCATATTACTGGGAGTAGTAGAATTTTCTAAAACAGTTTTTCTACTGTCATTCTGGCCTCGAATACACCCCAGAGAAAAGCATGCATACAAGTTTAGAGAACCTCACATTTGATCTGTATCAAATCCCATGGACCTTGTGCAGAGCGTTTTGGAGAAAATGACCAAAAATGGCTCAAAATAGGGGCATAAGGTTTTCATTGCCTTTCTCACCTTGAAGCAAAAATCATGAAATGTTCTTTGATTGATTGAGAAGAGCCTCTAGATTGCAGGAACCCCTCAATTGTCTTGATGCCTACACACATTCCTTCAGAAAGTTTATTCATAGTCATTTCTTTTTTTTAAAGAAAAATTGCCCTTCACTGACCATTAACCACTCTCACATCAGAATGTCACCAAGCATCTTTGAGTCACACAGCAGATTTTCTGAAAGATCAATAGATATAAGTCATGAGAAGGAGTCAATGCAAGAATCACTGTGATTTCTACATGGACTCCTGTAGGGAAGACTCATGTTTCTGATGGTTAGAAATTGCCCCCCCATAGTTTCTGTTATCAAATATGCACTCACCACAGAATGCATCCATAGGCAAAAGCACATATTATGAAATCTCTGAAGAATCAATAGAAATGTCTCCTTGGATGGCAAGGAGACATTGGCCATTGCTTTGCTGTCTGTAGTTCACTCAGAAAGTTTATTCAAAGAACATATGAAATGATATTTTGCCCCCCATTCATCTAGGGCATCAAAAAATGCTTGGAATTGCTTTTAAGACATACATTGGGAATGCTCTCTGATAGATCGATGGAGGTGGTTCTCTGGATTGCATGGATGCATGAATGCATCTGTCCACCACCCACCTTCATGAGACTACTCTTTCATCATCCTGCTTGATTGGGTGTCTCTGGTATAAAAATCACCGAACATTTTTTCACATTTTGGCAGCAGTGAGTCTTTCAAATGTATACGAGGTGTGGCTATTATATGTTTCCTCACTGATCTTATTGCTCAACTTAGAGAGAGGAGGGGAGTGGGGCTATGACAGCAATATGGAGGATGGAGGGGAGCCTTAACTAATAACTGGGCAAGTTTCAGTGTGGTCTGACCAGTGTGATGAGAGCTGCAGCCCATTAAGGTAGACTGTATTTGTGTGTGCTGGCGGATTTGAAATGGAGTGTAATCTCAAGCAGAGAACTAACATAAAATTTTGTGTTAAAGTGGGGAAATTTGCAATTGAAATGCTTGAAATGTTAAGAAAAGTTTATGGTGATCATACCATGTCAAGAGCATGAGGCTGTGAGGAGGAAAAGGGGCGATCTGTGAAATGAGAAATCATGGATCCTGCATCACAATAATGTGCCGGCTCGCACAGTGCTGTCTGTCTGGGAGTTTTTGGTTGCCAAACATATCACTGAAATGGATCACCCGCTGTATTTGCCCGATTTAGCCCCCTATGACTTTTGGCTCTTTCCCAAACTCAAAATTTTTTTTTGAAAGGCCACCGATTTCAAAGCATTGAAGACATTCAAATGAATGTGACTCAGGCTCTGAAAAAACATCCCTAAAGAAGACTTCCACCAATGTTTCCAGCAATTGCAGCATCATTGGGATAAGTGTATTAGTTCTGGAGGGGAGTACTTTGAAGGCAGTAAATGTGATTAATTTGTAAGTTTATAAATGCATTAAGAAAAAAAGTTTGGGAACTTCATAGCCACACCTCGTATGTGCCTGAAGCACCAATATTTCTGCGTTTGTTCCCTTGGGATAGTCCAAGTCTGGCAATGAAGTCAGGTTTTAGGTTCTGGTTTTGGTAGGTCTCTTAACACATGGGTGACGTGCCCCGAGAAATCTCGTAGTATGCTCGCAAGCGGTTGGTGACTGACCCCGAGAAATCTCAGTTTTACGCACAACGTCGACGTCATGTGTTTTACGCACGATGTCGACGTCGTTGTGTTAAGAGGTTGACATCTCCATCATTCCATGTATAAATTTTAATTTCATCTCCATATGCATCTCCTGACCTTGTGGCATCCAAATCTTTGGGCAGTTTCCTTGCATAGCATTTGAAAATTGCTTGAAAGTTTGATGCATGTGTGCATGCCTCCTCCCTCTCATACTACCACAACCTAATCCCCTACTCCATGTGGCATAATCATCTACAATTCAGATGAGACATCATTCGCCTTTCTAGGTGTTCGGATTGCCAAATTGTGGAACTTTTTCCTTGTTGAACTTTGGTTTTCCTGTTGACAGGATGCATGCACAATCCTCCTCCTCCCCCCCCAAAGGATTCTTCATTATCTAACTTATCATTCTTGTTTGCATAAATAAAGCTGCCTTCTCATGGAAAACAATAGGGCATTGACTTTGAAGCACCTCATGCATTGTACTTTGGTTTTGTAGCAATGCCCCCCCCCCCCCTTCTGGAATTATTTTGCCTTAGTTTTTGTCATGTTTACAGTCATTGCATGGTCATCTGTCCAAACCTTGAGGGCATTTATGGCATTCTATATGTCTGCCCAGTTTGTTGAGTAAATGACAAGGTCATCTCCAAGCATTATGACATGGGCCAATTTGGCCATTGGCTTGGGGGCTGCTAGAAGATTCCTTGTGAATATGAAGAAAAGAGTGGTACTTAGGCAATTACCTTTCAGGACCCTATGTGTTTGGGAGATTGGGTTGGATGTTCTCAGGCTGTTGACTTTCACATAGTTTTTATTCAGGATGTCATGAATGAGGCCAAGGATAAGTCCATCAATTCCCTTGCTTTCCAGCTTGCTAATGAGGATGAACTGTTGAAAACCTGAAATTGCAGTTGCTCTTAGAGAATGTAATATCACAGTCCTTCTAAGTACTGCCTGTTAAGTGCAATGTACTGCTCCATTTGATTAAACCACTTCTTGAAACATATCTTCCACTCATATGAAATGATGCATGTCAAATTTTCTTGAGGCACTTCAAGTGCATCCTCATTGGCATGGAGTTGTTTCCTGTTAATCACTCTTTCACCTTGGAGAAAAAAGGAAATAAACACAAGGGCTAAGGTTAGGGAAGAATGAGGGTTAGACAGCAGCTGAATGCATTCAGGGATCACAAAATTATTAGTGCATGCTGCTGTGCTTGCACTGGCTGTCATGAATCAGGAGGATTCCATGTAGGCCTTATTTGAACAGCACTAGCAAAGTTCTGCAAACACTTTTGAACACTTTGAGCTAGTTGTCTTTTGCAGGTGGTTCTCATTCCAAATGAATAGCAGATGAATAAATGAGTGTGAATATCCAAAGTCTTTTCACACATTTCATTCAAAATATCCCTTGGTATACATCAGGGGTGTCAAACTGGCAGGCTGGATCCAGCCTGCCAGTCCATTTTGTCTGGCCCTTGAAATCCTCTTCAACAGTTGGTTACAGAAAAGTACTGCAAATTTTAGCCTGTTTGCATTAAAGATTAAAAGTTAGATTTTTATTTAGGCTCCTAATCACCCCTGAAGATTTCCATCCAGCCTCCAGCCTAATTGAGTTTGACACCCCTGGTTTACATCAACCTGAGTCTGCAAGGTCTGGCAAAGAAGACCAATGACTTTGGGCATATCTTATGATTGCTTAAGTCATATCTCACAAAATGTGCTGTGGATGAAGCATGCCTCCATTTATTTGAAAGTTAGAAAGGCTGCCTAAAGCCATTAACTTTGAATGAAAGTTATAAATGATATTCTATGACAAATCTGACATTTGAAGTTGACAGTACCTTCTGAAGACAAAGGAAAATTTTGAATAACTTTTTTGAAAACACTGGATTGATGCTCATTGATTCATCTGCTATTCACATAAAACTCCTCTTCCATTTAAATTCATTCTCTGGGCTGGTCATCTCTAGCAGATGATTTTCAAGAATTCATTACTATTGGTCTTGATGACCTCGAGGGAAAGCACTTGAGTGTATCCTCGTTTCCATTACCAGCAAGAGCTCTTTTTGCCCATTCTTCATGTTTAACTTCTTTTCAATAACTGCAATAGAATTTCTTCAGCTCAACAAATTTGGATGGAATTTTGAGAATCACTTGGAAACATACTCTCATCAGCATAGTGAAAGTTTAATTTAAATGGCTCCATTGTGACCAGACATTGAGGTTAAAAGTCGTCAGTCTCCTTTTTTCTCCCTTACTTTGTATGTATTCCATCACCAGGACCTGATTCAAATCTCTTAAATGCTTTTACAAGGACATGAATACAATGTCAGCAAAATGAATTTTGGTGGTGCTTAGTACTGCCCAGTGACAAGATTTGTTCAAAAGTTAAATTTAATCAAATTTAATTGATTTAATCAAAAAAAAGTTTAATTTCAGCTACTGTTTATTCCTACATCCCATGTTTCTACAGATATGATGTCACTTTTTCACTCTCTGTTTCTCTGACATGAATTAATGTTATTGGGATCTTGAGGAAAGTTGTTCAGAAATTGTCATTGTAGCAATATGCTCAGACTAAGTTTGCCCACATGCCTACCTCTAATTGGCCTGTGAAGTCAGTTGCTTTTGTGCATTATTCCCTCATTTGTAGTTGTGCTGGTATCCATCAGATGGAAGAATGAATCTTAGGTGGTTTAAGCCTTTCCATATAGGAAATTAAACAATCATGGGAAGTTTCTGATGATCACTTGCTTTTTCAACTATTGAAGTTCAATAAACTTGATCATCTTATATAATGTGGGATATCATATACTTACAGGTTGCCATTTTTTTATTCTAAAGAGAACATAACTTTTAATGATTGGCTTGTAAATGCAGGACTCCCACCACCACGACTGGTTCAACATCCACAGAGTGTGACAGCAACAGTATCAGGATCCAATCCAAATGTATTAAGTGCAGCTCCCAGGCTTATTAAGCGCACTGAAGGGGAAATGAAGACCTCTGGTCCAACCATTGAAGCCAAGCCTCAACTCAGGTTTGCTCTTGCCATTTACTTCAGTTATATCTAATTCATTCATTCTATCCTTTTATTTTGCCCTCTGCTGACTAGATACAGAATTATATCTGCTGTTGTAATCCTGCTTGAATGCATGTTTTGACCAGTCTTGGAGAAAGAAATTTGTGGCATTATTTTGCACATTCATTTTAGATTATCCAGTTTATTATTATATTCCATTCAAAAATCTTCTCATATGTCTTATGTCTATATCTTCTCATGTATTCCCTTAACCCTTTGTGCTTTCATAACCTCTGATGAACTGCTAGCAGTGGGCTCAAGGCTGAATGATGTCTACCCTCAAGGAATGTATCCCTTTAGTAAGGTATTGATATGAGAAGAGTAGGAATGCAGAGGCTGTTGTAAAAGATATTGACATTAACACAATCTGACAGAGGACCATGCACAGCCAGAATGGTCTAGGACCATGTCATGTTCTTGAGAACAGGAAACACAGGCAATGCTCTACAGATGGGTAGACTTTCAACATCTTTCGGGGTCATTGTTGAGACCATGCACACTACTGAAAACACAGTGTAGCACAACCTGCACAGTACTTGTATTACTTGTGAATTGGCATGATTCACTGGATACCTGTTATCAACTGTATGCAAAAAAAGCCATTGACATTTTGGATTTTCCCATACAGGCTGCATCTTGTCCTACAGCTTCAGATGACCGATGTAGCTAAGTATCATGACTTTGCCTTCCAGCCCCTGGCATGGCTTGAGGTTGATGTCCAGTGGTTTTCCAACGACCTATGGACCAGTGAGGCTCATTTCAACCTCAGTGATGTGAACCCAAAAAACTGCATTTGTTCATCTATCACAAACCCTTATGCTACTGTTCAGCAACCACTTCATGACTCGAAAGTGATGGTGTGGCATGGATTCACATTTGGATTCATTCTTGAACCATACTTCTTTGTAAAGGCAAATGAGACAGGACAGAAAATGGTCACCATTATAGCTCCTCTTTATCATGACCTGCCAATGACCAAAGCTATTTCAGAACTGCATGACTGTGGGGTGATTGAACAGATAACCTTTATGCAATATAATGCTCTACCCAACATTGCCACCCATTCCAAGCAAATTGGTGACAGTCAACAGTAAGCAATTCCAACTGAAATGACCTATGTGACCACCTGACCTTCACCCTTTTCCTGCTGACTTTTAGCTGTGGGGCTTCCCTGAAGGCATGGGTTTACACACCAACAACTCTTCCAATGTTAAAAGATGCTATTCAAGGAGAAGTCTAACCCATGGTTTTCCTCGAGTCTTTTTGCATCCCAATCCTCAGGAAATGCAAGACATGAAAGTTTTAAAAGTACTCACTGTGTGTAACACTCTTGTAAATATTACCTTAGCAATGAAATGATTCATAAACGTAATCAGAAATTCAGTGGGGTCAAAAAAATATCCCAGAGAGAATATAGAGGGTGGTCCAGGTCAAGTGTAACAAACCAAACTGAACTTTTCTAAGAAATGGCATGGCCTGTTTCTGACATAATGGACCAGACATGTCTTGAATTTCACTCAAATTGGCCACCTTTGGCCTTGATTCAATTTATTTGCTTTGATTTGCTTTGGTCTGCAATTACCCCACTTATCGAAGTTGTCAACCATATTGAGGTTCTTTGATTAAAACTGTCCAGTTATTTATGACTTGAAAGATGAAAAAGAGTCGGCAGAGAAAATCAGCCTGCCCAAATCATTTTGGAAGTGGGTGTTATACATTCATATGCAAGTCACCATACCTTACTTGCAATCAACTCATTTTTAATTGTTCATAGACCACAGTAAATTCAAGAAATCATGTTTCATGGTGTTCAACAAATGCACCTTTGTTAATGAAGGTGAAAGTTTCAACACTATAGACTTTAACCTTCACAAGTATTTTCAATAATAAAAAAGAGTTGACAGAGAAAATCACCCTGCCTGAATCAATTTGAAAGTGGGTGGTACATATGAATATAGTATTTGATGGATTATGGACCCTTTTTGGATACTGGCATGTTTCAGGTTATCTCACCATACACAGTTATGACATGGCATATATGGACAGTATATGGTGCATTTGTATGAGCCAATACATAAAAATGTATGGGGTCATATATTTTCATTCTTATATGATTTTGTGACTTTTGTCAAACCCCATATACTGTATGTTCATATATGAATTGTATTCAATACTATATGGTCATATATGCCCCATATATTTTGGACTGGCTAAATATATGGCCATTTTGTATTTGGTCTTCAATGAAATTTTCACATGGGTGACCACTTCTTTGAGACAATTCTGGAATCCATTTTGTCCAACAATGCATTGCTTGACAGTATCATTGCTGATCTGCACTGATGCCTGCTTCAAGGCATTTTTCAAATGTTCAGTTGAGTCAAATCTGGCCACACCATCGTACACCTTCTGTTCAAGAATCACCCAAATTCTGTAATCAAGTGAATTCAGATCATGGCCTTTCGAAGGACTCTGTTCCTGCTTCAGATATCTGGGATTCACATGCTGCAGGAAGTCTCAGGTCAGCTGAGCTGTGTGACTCAGAGCCAAGTCTTGCTGCAGAATGTAATTTCCCTCTGGGTACAATTTCCTGCAGTCAGGAATCAGCTTCATCTTGAGAAGAACATTCGTGTAATACTCAGGGATCACTTTGGTTCCAGGGTCAACAAAACGTAGCCAAGTCTTATCCCGAACACTGACATCTACGCTGACCATCACTTGTTTGGTAAAATGTGAACATTCAGCTTGCAGTCGATTGGAAGCGATGTTCCTTCCTTCATTCAGATCCATACACTGTCATTCTGAGGATTTCATGGTGCTGATAGTGGAAAGATCTTTTCATCACTGAAAAGCGCAAAAGCACTTTCAATTTCTCCAGGTGCTTCTTGTTTGCATCATTGAGATCATGAATGCATACTTTTCTGTATGTTTTAAGTTTCAGATCCTGCTACACAACTTCTGCAACAGACAATTTTGACATTTTCAGTTTCCAAGCGATCTCTCATGAACCTCTGGCTCATATTTGTTCTGGGTTGATCTACTTCACTCAGGCTCAGTTCCTCAACCTTGGCAATGTTTCTGGGCATGCATGTTGTTTTTTTCTTCCGTTTCCAGATTTTCTTTATGTCATTCCTTACAGCTCGAAATGTTTGATCAACTTCTTCACGCCAGACAACGACCAGTTCTGATTCATGAAAGCTCTTATGATTTTCTTTGCATCCCATCCATAATTTTCATGGGAATGCAGAATGATATTCTGGTCAGATTTTGAGAAAACCATGTCTATTTTCTGATATTTTTGATTGAGTAAAGGTATTTTTTAGAATTTAGTGAAAATATACAATAGTGTATTAAATTGAGATGCTGAGTACTGTAGATTTACAGGGCAAAAGTTGTACTTATGCACTAATTTGATTATGATTGCAAAATGGCACAAATTATGGCTCATGTGATAACAATCTGCCTGAGATCTTGAGTATTTCCTGACTAATTGAACTCTTTTTATCCTATTTTTAGGCAGTTTGGTCTCCTGGTTGCTGAGAAACTCATAAATATATAATGTTTTACTCTTTTTCTGGGCGCCCTGTGTGTTCATATTTCAATACATGAAAATATTTATGAATTTATATGGCACAGATAATAGCATGTAGCATACTATTTATTATCTTTCTGTATGGGCACAGTAATGATTCTTGCTATACTCAGGCCACCATGACTGTCCTCATTATTCTAAGCCTGCACTGAAACAATTGGTAAAAAATTACATGAAAGAATTATGCCCATGACTTGTGCTTCTGTGGAGGTGTGAGGGCTAAGGGTACTTTTTTTCTCTGGCACATTATTTCCTTGTTGCACACTTCTGATGAAATTCTTTATGACATGCACATCCACTCAGCCCCTACCTTCCCTTCCTGCAGAGTGTTTTCTCCCTGAGTTATTCCTCCCCCCTCCCCACACATTTTGGACCATACCCATGTGCATGTGCCATTATGATACTGCCATCCTAACATGACCATGCACTCATGGAATGTTTGGTTGAATGCCAATGATTTTTGTTGACTAAAAGTTAAGACTAACATATAAAATTAAGCATTCAAGTAAACCCTTACTGAGGATACTGTCCTTGAAGGTAACCTAATCACATCGGGATGGTGTGGTATCTTGCATGAGCCTAATTTTTACTAGAATTTAATCCTCTTTCATTTGTCCCAGAAACCTGAGTGCAGAGGTGACAAAGTTGGTTCCAACAGCATTGCGAGTGAAGCGAGAAGACAAGTTTGGGCTCACAAGGCAGAGGACATTGCCATCTTCTCTCAGAGGTTCTCATTGTTTAGTTTTCTAGTTTTGCAAGTTTCCTATAATTTGCTAGGGAGTGTTCTTTTTTCTTTCAAATCAAGGGGATCGAGAACTTCGAGCTGGGGAAAGAAGGTCATCTACATCAATGAAGTCTCTTGGCTCCAAGGACGATGCATATGTTCAGTTTATGAAAGAAATGGAAGGGCTCATGTGACCTGTAAACTCTTCTCTCTTTTTCTCTATTGCTTCATTTTTTGTTATTGGTAGGATTCTGTCTGTGCAGGAGACTTGATACCTTTGTGCTTTTTCATATTTGGCAGGAGTGTGTATGTCATTATCAGTGAAGATTTAGTGAATGTTTGCCTGTTTTAATTTGGTATCATATGTGCATGTGAAGATGCTTTCAGATGAAGCCATTTGGCTCCTCTGGAAGAATGTATAGAGTTTCAAAAAAAGAAGTTCCATCCTTCTATGGGGAAATGTACAAAATATTGTAGCCCTTTTCATACCTTAAAAAGAAACGCAGCGATAAATGTTTTTGATCTTATTGATTGCAACCCCTCAAACCTCTCCTCCATCTGTCATATCTTTACAAACCTTTCATTCCTCTAACAAGACATCAGTTGATATTCTTGGTACCTCTTTGCATGGGACCTAAATCTTTCATTTATTTAGTGCAAAAAATTCTGCAGCAGCAAGAGGTTCATCTTGGTATTGTGTTTAGAATTACTGATATTTCTAAGGTTCTCAGAAATCTCCAAACCTAACTTTTTTCAGATTCTAATTTCTTTAAAATTTCCATTCCATTGAAGAAATTCAGAATTTCATAGATTATGAAGTATTTTAATCAAAATTAATAACGAGAATAAGAATATTAGTCAAGTCAGTCTTATATATTTACATACATTTTCAATACCGCATTTCCCAACTAAATGGTGTGGTTTCAGCATGACCAGGAGTGTCCACCTCAACAGACTCCAACGCAGCTGGTGGAATAGGAAAAGGGGACAGGGAATGAAGCAAATACGAAAGTCAGTCACCCTGAATTATCCAGGATTTCATTCACACTGAAAATGGAACGAAAATTTTCTAAAACGCGAAATTAAGAGCGCAACCAAATCATGCTAAGGAGAAAAGTAAATGCCGTTTATTGGGATATAATTTCCACAGAAAAGGGGGACAAGTAATGGAAGCAAATTCGTACCTCTGGCACCAGGTGTTATCCAGATATTGATTCACACTGAAAATATTATGAAAATAGACTAAAACGCGAAATTAAGAATGGAACCATGCAGGAGGGAGAAAAGGCTTTCATCCAGGGATTAGGGTCAAGCCAGTTCTCAGTTGATACAGGCAAGCAAGGGGGAAACTTGTTCCAGACATGTTGACTGGTGCAAGGACATGGACATGGGCATGGGGTCACTAGGCCTGGGTACGAGGGTCACTCAATAAGTTATCTACCTAAATAAGAAAGAAACATCCGAGGGGAAAAATAATACATTATTTTTCAGTGTAGCCACCTTTAATCAGGGAAGGGGTTTTGTTTCGGTGTGCAATCAGGATCCAGCTATCAGCATACCTGTGCGATCAACCACTAGTATTGACCTTGGCTGCACGTGGTTTCAAAATCAGGACGTAAAATGCTAAAATATATACCGCTGGATAAAATATCGTAATCGAAAGAGGCCTTCGAGGGGTTGACTCCTGGATAATGCAATTTTGCAGAAACCATTCTAGTGATTCATGTTCATGGTGCAATAGTGCCCATGAAGGACTCTACTCGAGTTCTCCTACGTGATCGATACTTTATTATTTTTCCATTAACAGTTGGAGAAGCAGGAAATTGCTCCATCGATGCGTTTTCTTTACTTTTCAAACGCTACTCCTCCCTCCAGCCAAATATGTCCGTAAGTAAAAGTGCTTTAAGTAAACTACGAATAGTTGACATGGAGGGGTGAAGGTGAAAAGGAATGTAGGCCCGAATGCACAAACCTCATTTAGGCGAGATAAAGGGGTCTTTAACCTCAAGATCTGTTTTTCTCCTATAGGGTTCCGTGTNTGTTGCTCATCCCTTTCATATTCAGGTAGATAACTTATTGAGTGGCCCTCGTATATTCCAAATGGAGTGAAGACTTACCAAATTGGGGAAATAGGCTTCTTGACCAACGATGCTAAACCAACCCACAAACATGTCGCACATCTTGAAATCACAATATTTAGAGTTCAAATCGAGGCACATGCACAAATGTAAGGAAACACGGCAAAACGCAGAGTAATAGATGCCAACTGCCATCCATGAGGTATCCATACATTCATTGAAACTAGAAAATGTCAGAAAATTGGAAAAAAAACCGCGAAATCTAGAGCGAAACCAATATCTTCCCTGGAAAAAAGAAAAATGAATGTAGTTCAATATGATGTGGTCTGTTCAAGGAAGGGGGACAAGTAATGGATGCCAACTGGCCCCCTACAACCATGACGCCAAGAGTCCTGCCTGCAATATCCGAGCATTGACATGAACTGAAAGAAAACAAATGGACAAAATCGCGAAAATTAGAGGGAAACCAATTTCAACCTGCAAAAAGGAATGTAGTGCAATTGGATGTGATCTGTTCCAAGAAGGGGGAAAAGCAATGGATGTCAAGACTCCAACTTGCAAGAAATGTTTTATCCAAGCATTGATTGAAATTGAAAAATTTCAGAAAATTGACGAAACCGCGAAATTTAGAGCGAAGCCAATTTCTTCCCAGGAAAAAGAAAAATTAAATGTAGTTCAAAGGCATGAGGTCTGTTCTAAGAAAGGTGAAAAGCAATGGATTCCAATAGTCCTGCCTGCAATGTCCGAGCATTGGCATGAACTGAAATGAACCAAATGGACAAAAACACGCAATTTAGAACGAAATCAATTTCAACCTGTGAAAAAAGTAAAAATGAATGTAGTTGAATGGGTTGCGGTCTGTTCAAGGGAGAAGGACAAGTAATGGATTCGCACTAGCCCCCTGCATCCATCAGGTCTCCATCTATTGATTGAAACTGAAAATTTTTAAAATATTGACAAAAATGCGAAATTTAGAGCGAAACATTTCTTCCCATGAAAAAAGAAAAAGTGAATTTCGTTCAAGGGGATGTGGTCCGTTCAAGGAACTACAAGAAAAGGATGCCAACTGCCATGAGGTATCCATGCAATGATTGAAACTGAAGGACGGAAAATTGATAAAAACGCGAAAATTAGAGCGAAATCAATTTCAGCCATCAGGTCGCCATCTATTGATATGAAATTGAAGAAAGATGTAAAATTGTTTAACAATTTTACATTAATTAACAATTATAAAATGTAAAATTGTTTAACAATTTTACATTTTAACACGCGAAATTTAGAGCAACACTAATTTTTTCCCTATTAAGAAAAGGTGAATGTAGTTAAATGGGATGAGGACACTTCTCAGAAGGGGACAAGCAATGGATGCCAACATATTGAATGTCGGCATCTTGCAATTATGAGGAATACATGCATTGATTGAAACTGAAAATTTTCGGAATATTAAAATAAATGCGATATTTAGAACGAAACCACTTTCAACCTTCCAAAAAAGGAAAAATGAATTTAGTCCAATGGAATGTGGTTTGTTCCAAGAAGGGGACCAGAAATGGACGCCAATTGAAACAGAAAATAGTCAGAAAATCAAGAAAAACGTGAAATTAAGGAAAAGTGAATGCTCTTCAATGGAATCTGGTCTGCTCAAAGAAAAGGGGACAAGTGATAGATGCCAAAAACCCTCCCTGCATCCATGAGGTGAACATGCATTGATTGAAAGAGACAGCAGTCAGAAAATCGTGAAAAACGCGATTTTTAGAGAAAAAGCCATAATTAATGGAAGAAATGAAAATAGAATTTTGTTCTATGGAATGTGGTCTATTTTAAGAAAAGGGGACAAGTGATTCATGCCAAAAACGACCCCTGCATCCATGAGGGAAACATGCATTGATTGAAAAAGAAAGTCAGAAACTCCAGGAAAACGCGAAATTTAGAGCGAAACCAATTTCTACCAGAAAAAGAAGTAAATGCTCTTCATTGGAATGTGGTCTTTTCAAAGAAAAGTGAACAAGTGGTAGATGCCAAAAACGACCCCTTCATCTTTGAGGTAAACATGCATTAATTGAAGCTGAAAATAAAAAATCGAGAAAAACGCGAAATTAAGAGCGAAACCAATTTCTACCAGAAAAAGAAGTCAATGCTCTTCATTGAAATGTGATCTGTTCAAAGAAAAGGGGCAAGTGATACTGTAACCAAGAGAAACCAAATTCAACTGGAAAAAGGAAAAGTGAATGTTGTTTTATAGGATGTGGCCTGTTCCAAATTCAACCGGAAAAAGGAAAAGTGAAAGCTCCTCAATGGAATGTGGTCCGTTCAAAGAAAAGGGGCAAGTGATACATGCCAAAAACGACCCCTTCATCCTTAAGGTAAACATGCATTGATTCTTTCAATCAATGCATGTTTACCTCTATAGTAAATAGAAAATCCCGAGATGCGCGAAATTAAGAGCGAAACCAATTTGAACCATAGGAAAAAGGAAAGTGAATGTTATTCAATGGGTTGTGGTCTGTTTGAAGTAGGGGAACAAGCAAAAGACGCCCCTTGCCCAAATACAACAAATGACGTACATTATTATTGATTGAAACAGAAAGTCAGAAACTCCAGGAAAACGCGATATTAAGTGCGAAACCAAATTCAACTGGAAAAATGGAAAGTGAAAGCTCTTCAATTGAATGTGGTCCGTTCAAAGAAAAGGAGCAAGTGATAGATGCCAAAAACGTTCCTTGCATCCATGAGGGAAACATGGATTGATTGAAACAAAGTCAGAAAATCGAGAAAAACGCGTAATTAAGAGCGAAACCAAATTCAACCGGAAAAAGGAAAAGTCAATGCTCTTTAATGGAATGTGGTCTGCACGAAGAAAAGGGGACAGGTGATAGATGCCAAAAACGACCCCTTCATCCTTGCGGTAAACATGCATTGATTGAAACAGAAAAAAAATCAGAAAATCCGGAAAAACGCGAAATTAAGAGAGAAACCAAATTCAACTGGAAAAAGGAAAAGTGAATGTTGTTTTATAGGATGTGGCCTGTTCCAAATTCAACCGGAAAAATGAAAAGTGAAAGCTCTTCAATGGAATGTGATCTGTTCAAAGAAAAGGGGCAAGTGATACATGCCAAAAACGGGTCGTTTTTGGCATGTATCACTTCATCCTTGAGGTAAACATGCATTGATTCTTTCAATCAATGCATGTTTACTTCTATAGTAAATAGAAAATCCCGAGTTGCGCGAAATTAGGAGCGAAACCAATTTCAACCATAGAAA